GCAAAGGCAATTAAGAAGTGATTTGCATGCTAGATGGTCTGCCTTCCTAGACAAGTTCCCATATAAAATTGTGTATAAGACAGGATAGCAAAATAAAGTGGCTGATGCACTTAGCAAACGTGTAGCTCTCATCAAGACCCTCAATGTTGAGATTGTGGGTTTTGAGTGCCTAAAAGACTTATATGCCCAGGATGTAGACTTCCAACAAGTATGGGAGAAATGTGTGAATAAGCAACCAGCAGAGGACTTCTTTATTTATGATGGGTTCCTTATGAAAGGGGAACAGGTGTGTATCCCCTGCACCTCCCTCCGCGAAAAGATCATCGGGGATTTGCATGGGGGTAGATTAGCAGGACACTTGGGAAGGGATAAAACAGTAGAAGCAGTTAAGGGGCGATATTACTGGCCGAAATTAAGAAGGGACGTGTCTACCATTGTAAGCAGGTGCTRTGTTTGTCAGACAGCTAAGGGACAAACCCAGAACACATGTCTCTACATGCCCCTACCCGTTCCTACTACTATATGGGAAGACTTGTCCATGGATTTTGTGCTAGGCTTGCCAAAGACCCAGAGGAACATGGACTCCGTCTTCGTGGTGGTTAATAGATTCTCAAAAATGGCTCACTTCCTCCCATGCAAGAAAACAGCAGATGCATCTACAACAGCCAAATTATTTTTCAGGAAGATTGTCCGCTTGCATGGGGTACCCAAGACCATCACGTCAGACCGTGACACACGGTTCCTCAGTGACTTTTGGATGACCCTGTGGAGGTTGTTTGATTCATCACTTAATTTCAACAATACTGCCCATCCGCAGACGGATGGATAGACAGAAGTGGTAAACCAGACCTCAGGGAATGTAATTCGCAGCATATGTTGGGAGAGGCCAAAACAGTGGGATTTCGCCATAGCCCAGGCCGAATTCGCCTATAAAAATACAGTGCACAGTTCTACAGGCAAATCCCCATTCTCCATCGTATACATGAAGGTCCCTAACCATGCACTGGATTTAGTGAAACTGCCCAGAGTACCCGACGTCAGTATCTCAGCAGAATAGATGGCAGAAAAAATCCAATCCATCCAAGAGGCCGTGAAGCAAAAGCTTGAGCAATCCAACGCCAAGTACAAGATGGCCACAGACAAGCACCGACGGTCTCAAGTGTTTGATGTAGGTGATGAGGTTATGATCTTCTTAAGGAGGGAAAGAGTTCCCGTAGGTACCTACAACAAGTTGAAACCTCGGAAGTATGGTCCCCAATGCTTTATTTGTTGAAATGGAGATGTGGGCATTAATGACCCAGATTTCCTATACCTTTTTTCCATACACTATTCTTCCGCACTTCCATTATTTACCGTGTGACAAATGTCCCATCACATGTGAAGTTTCACATGGATGAATACATCACTAAATGGAAGTGGAGGAGGAAGTTTAGGAAAACAGTGTAGGAGATGGAAACTCCTAGACAATTATCTCCCATCATCTTGAGATAATATAACATGATTCTCTAAGCTGTCATTCCCCATGGAGGTTTCGACTTGAAGGTCTGAGGAAGATTCAGCCAACAAGTGCATAGTTTCTTCAGGGTTCTCTCTCATCCATGGGTGATTACCATCTCCTCGTCCTCTTAAGTAGTTTAAAGCTACAACTTCTCTCATTTTTGGTTTCTCTTCCCCGCTCAATCGTAGGCATTGTTCTGCAATCTCCGCAACTCCTTGAAGCTGCGTACAATTTCTTCCATGCATCCTCTAGGATATCAAAGAGACGGTTCTGTTTCATTGATAAAACAAAATACTTTGCTATATTTTTTCGTTCTTCAGGCCTGTCATTAGAATAAATCTTCTTTCCTGTTAATAGCTCCACAAGGACTGCACCAAAGCTATAAACATCACTCTTGTCAGTTAACTGCCTTGTTTTCATATATTCTGGATTTATGTACCCAAAAGTTCCTTGTACAAATGTAGATGACTGCATTTGATTCAGGGGGACCAATCTTGAAGCACCAAAATCTGATACTTTTGCAGTGAATTTATCATCTAAGAGTATATTCATAGACTTGATATCTCCATGAACGATTGGCGGATCACCTGCTGAATGCAAGTATGCAAGTGCTCCTGCAGTTTCTACCACTATTCTTAATCGATCCTCCCATGAGAACACAAACTTTTGTCTCTCATCGCCATGGATTCGGTGAAACAAGGTCCCCCTTGTAATAAACTCATAAACTAAAATTGGAACTGGGGTTGCTAAACAACAACCTAATAGCTTCACCACATTTTCGTGATTGAGACGAGCAAGAATGACAATCTCATTTATGAATTCTTTAACTTGGATCTTGTTTGTCTCTTTGGATATTTTAATGGCAATATCTCTCTTCTGGTAATGTCCCTTTGTAAACTGTGCCATAACCTCCTTTACCAACGATTTGGCTCTCATTGTAATTGTTAGTTGCCTTTCTAAGTTCCTCTGAGGTAAATATCTTTAATTTTCTTTCTATATCGTCTTCATGCAAAGCAAGTAATTGTTTTAAAAATACACCTCCATTTTCTTGGAAGACATTCTGTTTGAATTTACGTTTTTGTAAAACCCAGCAGCTCCATGTTACACCAATGATAATGAACAACAACATGCATAATCCTCCAACTGCATATAAACAAACTAATTTACAGATAAGATAAAATTATATATGCATATGAATTAGGCCAGATCACATCTCCTCCCCCCAAGGAGCTGCCCCACAGCACATCCCACTGTGTATTGGAAACATCTCCCAATGATACTACCAGAAATCGGGAGATGTTCCCAATACATGGTGGGGATGTGCTGTAGGGCGTTGTGGGGCGGCCCCTTGTAAGGTGTGGAGATGTGAACTCGAATTAGGCTGCGTAATCAAGGTCAAACGTGGAGCTTTTCTACATTACAATCCAGACCATCAAAAACAGGCGTGCCTATTGATTGGCCATGGCCCATGTGTTTCAACCAATGCATAAAAACAATTTTAAAATAGAACCATTTTTCTTCCAATTGGTGGATCAACAGGTTAATCATCCACATCAAATAGGTGACTCTAGACAACACAATCAAGTAATAAAAATATAAAAATGGATAAAACACATAAAAAATGAGAAACGCATTGACTGACAATACAAGGATGATAAATGATGATGATGATAATAATAATAATAATTATTATTATTATTATTATTATTATTATTATTATTATTATTATTATTATTAGTTTTCTTTAATAATAAAACATTATTGCTTAATTTAAAATATTATGTCAGTAATTATTTTCAGTATTTAGTAAAAATTACAATAAGTTTGACTTTTCAAATTTTCACATTTTTAGAGATTAATGTAATTACTATAAAAATTAATTATTATGCTATTAACTATTGTATATTTTTTAGGGAAAGGGTAAAAATAGAAAGATGAGCACTAAATATTTTGAGACCTGAATTTTCAAAAAAATTATTGAAAATTTCTGAAAATTTTTAATAGTTATTGAAATTGCTTATTTTAATTATTGTCAGTAATTATTATTTTCTAATTTTATCATTTTTAAGAAATTCATGTAATTAATTTATTACTAATTAATAAAACTGGACTAGGCCAGTTTTAAATATTGTTTTGAAATCTGAAATTATTGAAAATAAAAAATAATAATATCTAAACTCAAAAATTTAAAATAATTATTGTGAGAATTAGTTAGAAAAATTCAGCTAATTGGTGAAATTAGTAGTTTTAAGTTCTAAAAATTATGATGATAATTGGTTTTAAATATTGTTTTGAAATCTGAAATTATTGATAATAAAAATAATAATATAAACATATAAAAATTGAAAATAATTTGTTAAACTAATATCAAAATCTAAAAATTCAAAATAATTATTGAAAATTCGAATTACTAAAAATGATTACTGAATATTATTACTTTTCAGTAATGGTACTGAGAATAAGTCTGAACTTTCAATAATAAGTCTTATAAGTCTTTAATATTATAAAAATTTTCTGAAATTTTACCCTTCAACAAATAATATAAGAGTTTACATTTTCATTCAATCCCTTTGTCATCATATTCCACATTGGGGTTCCCCCACTAATTTTAAATATATAACTAATCCGAAAATTCACTCTGAAAATCCCTTACCCCTCACCTTTCCTTAAATAAATGGCTTCCACCCTATTATGTCCTGGGAGGGTAGGAAGTTAAGGTTCCTTTTGGTCGTAGTGCAACTCCTTCACGTTAGACTTGAAATCCAAGCACAAGGAACCGTAATTGGAAAGTTGGTGAGGACAAAACAGAGAAGATGTATCTTGCCCAATAGTCAGATAGAACAGAACCCATCAGGTCCAAACAGGGTTTATGTACATATGATTGAAATTAACTTTGTCCCAGGATCGAGTACATGCTATAATTTGATTGTCGGTTCTAGGCAGTGATATAATTTGTGAGAGGTTCATCTACGTTGTCTTACTGAAAGGTTTGTTCTATAAAATTGGTTATATTTGTTTTGTACTTGCTTTTCATGGAGTCAGTACACCTGAATGAGTAATTGTTTAGCTAGCATATATTAAAAAACACTATTATCATAATTGTAATTTTACTAAGTCATGGAAGTGGATTTTGGATGATAGTGTTGACACTTTTTAACTCATCACCAGCGAGAGAGAGAGAAAGAGAGAGAGAGTTCAAATCTGTCCCCCACAAGATTGCCCTCCACAATGCTCCATAATACATCTCTACCATGTATTGGAAACATCTCTCGATGATGACATCATCATTTTTGAAATTACCACTGGGAAATATTTTCAATACACAGTAGAAATGTAGTGTGGGACGTTGTGGGGGGCTGATTTGGTCTTGAATATCTGTTTACTACCCAAGTAGTAAACAGATTTCAAGAAACACGTGTGCTGATTAGAAAAAAAGACAATCTAACCGAGATTTTTATGATCCAATTTTCAATTACCCATATTTGGTTTACATGTCTCTTAGATATTCTTTAATTTATATTTAGCAAAATAGTCTCTTAGATATTCTTTAATTTATATTTAGCAAAATAGACAATCTAACCTGATCCTCCAGCATCCCAACAGGGACCGGTTCAACATGACATAATAATAGTTAAGTTCTAAAGCCAACATATCCTTTAATTAATTGTACTACTTTTTGCTTTGGAATTATAACTTTTCCTTTGACCCACTTTTTCTCTAAAGTGCTGAGTGCAGGATTTGATTCCGCATCAATGCTAGAACAAATCAGCTAACACACCCACGAGCCAGCCCTTTGTTGGTTTTAAATTGTGAGATTTAAATTATATTTTTTATTACAACTTTTGAGAACCTAAAAGTTATTAATATAAGTTTTGGTTTATATTAGAAGTCGCCAAGTTGCAAGAATACTCTATATATGTGTAGGGGTTGGGCATCATGACTCGATAGGGCAGGTCATATATTGTTATTAATATTCCATTTTTATTGTAATTTACTGTTATTTTTTGACTTTTAAACATTAACTGTTGAAAATTATAAAAAATTAGTGTAATTTATGGTTGTATAATATCTAGTTTTTCATTGTAATTTACTATTATTTTCTGATTTTTAATAATACTGAAAATTATCAAAAATAGGTGTACTTTATTGTTGTTTAATATTTAATTTTTATTGCAATTTACTGTTATTTTCTGACTTTTAATAATTAATTATTGAAAACAATCAAAAGTAGAGTAATATATTGTTCTTTAATATTTAATTTTTATTGTAATCTACTGTTATTTTCTGAGTTTTAAAGATTAATTATTGAAAATAATAAAAAAACTAGTGTAATATATTGTTCTTTTAATACTTAATTTTTTATTGTACGATACTGTTATTTTCTTACTTTCAATCATCATTTATTGAAAATTATCAGAAGTTAGAGTAAATTTATGAAAAACTAATAGGGAGTTGTATGCTTTGTTAAAAGAATTTGAGGCAAGACAAACTAATGGGGAGTTGTATGAAAAACTGGCCCAGCTCAAGCAAAGCTTTGTACAAGTTAGGTTTGAGTTTTTGAAATTCGAGCTGGTTTAGGAAAAAAAAGTCAAGCCTAATCTAAGCTAAACTCATGTTTGACTTGGATTGAAGCTCCGAAAAGTCTGAGACCAATCAAACCCAATATATATTTATATATAGATAGATAGATAGATAGATATTATTAATATATTCTTATACAAATTTAGGTACAAAACTCAATACGCCCAAATCCAAGTTCAATCCAAGATGTTGAGTTAAGCTCGGATTTAGGTTGAGCCCATCCAAACTAGAGAGAGAGATTACCTAAAGCAATTTCAAGCACTCGGCTTTGTTTTTTAATGCAACCAGATCCTTCCTTCAATCCGTCGCCGTGAGTCCCCTTAGGGCACGGGCAATTGTAACTCCCCGGTGTATTTTTGCAAATATGCGTGCAGTTATTGCCATCCTTTTCCATGCATTCATCGATATCTAATTAAAAGGCTACCTTTAATTAATGGAGTTATTAGAGTATGAAATGAATTGAAAAAACAAAAAAGAGCGGTCAGCTTGTGGTCGGGGATTACCCAGTCCAACACCACTGGAGTTGCAGTAGCTCCGTCATAACGGAGTGGAAGTCTCTTGGGGAGATCCATGAGGTCGGGTTTATAAATAAGGGTTATTAATAGACTATAGGGGCAGTAATTTAGAATTCAGCATTGAGCTGCAGTGTATTTAACCCTTTTTTTGGTATTTGGGCACCAATAATAAGTCACACAATAGCTAGTTGTCAGCTTGTCGTGTGCAACCAATGTACCATTTTTTGTATAAATTCATATTGGTTTTCTTTGAATCACAATGCAAACTTTTAAAACATTTAGTTCATTTTGCCAAAATAAATAAAATAAAAGTTTTCTACCAAAGAAATCGGAAAAATGAAAATTTTCATTGGTTAGGAAAACGTGAGATTGTCTCTTAATTATCTTGCTTTTAATAATTTATATTAATAATAAACTGTTAAAATATGTAAGCCCCACATCTCATCTTGGTAAGACTATATATGATTTTGAGCTGGACTTTGAATTCATACTGAGTCCACTTAAAATATTATTAAGCAAACTATATATAACATTGTTCATTAATTGACACTGACATATTGCTTAGTTTAACTAATTACGTAAATTTTTAAACAAAAAATAATAATAACACAAAGTTGGCATTAAGTAATTAAATTGGGAACAGTTCTCTAATTCACATTCTGTTATTTTTTTAAAGCACATTAAAGTTTTTCTTGTAACGTTTTTATCAATTAATAACGTTATTGTGGTGCATCGTCTAACGTGAAAATGTTACATTAATTGTGGTGCATCGTGTAACGTGAAAATGTTACATTAATTGTGATGCATCTTGTAACGTGAAAACGTTACATAATTGTGGTG